TGTGCCCTGTCTCGGCCGTGGCCCTGGCGCTGTGGGGCGGGGTGTCTGTGCGTGGGGAGGAGCAGAGGGAGCAGTGTGAGGGAAGGCCTGCAGGGCCGGGTGAGGTTCAGGGGTATATAAAGGAGAAAGTAGACTTTTATGCTGCTTTTTTTCTTTTTTTGCCTTCCTCCTTCCCCCACCTCCTACCTCCCCCCCCCCCCTCCCCACCAATTTTTTATGTCTGAAAATTCATGGGGGTGGGGGGGAGTGTTAAAAAATAACAAAACTTGTAAATTTGAGTGTGAAGTGTTGAAATAGAGAACCATCTGTTCAGGTTTAGCTAGAAGGTTAATTAATATGCTTTTACTTATTCCAGGTGCACTGTATTTTCCTGGAATTCAATGTGTAAATCTAAACCTAAACAGATCTTCTATTGAAGTGTAACAAGAGAAGGGGGGGGGTATTTATGTGTACAAAAGGAGTTCAGAACAAAACCCTATATCTCTATGGATTCTGTATTTAAAAAAAAATCTTATAAAATATTAAAAAATGTTTATAAAAATGTATTAGTGTCATAATAGATGTCTAAGCAGGTATTTTAAATAGATATTCTACATAAGTGTTAATGTGTATGTTAATGTCAATGTGTAAATCTAAACCTAAACAGATCTTCTATTGAAGTGTAACAAGAGAAGGGGGGGGGGAACGGAGACAATCTCTATGGCCTTTCAGTCCTCCGGGACAGCGGAAGTGCCCCGTCAGTCCTCCGGCTTACGTCTCTGTGGTTCCGCGGTCCTCCAGGGACCGGAAGTCTCTCAACACTCCGGAAATCCATGTCTATGGCATCTGAAGCACCAGAACGGCAGAGGTGCCTCTCAGTCCTCCGAGAGCCAACCTTTATGGTAGGGCGGGGGCGGGGCCCCGTGGCGGGGGCGGGGCCCCGTGGCGAACGGAGACAATCTCTATGGCCTTTCAGTCCTCCGGGACAGCGGAAGTGCCCCGTCAGTCCTCCGGCTTACGTCTCTGTGGTTCCGCGGTCCTCCAGGGACCGGAAGTCTCAGCTGTATTTAAGATGGAATTGTGGTTTCTTTCTCCAATTTTGCTGTATCCTGTGTAAGTTGCTGGTACCATTTCTGTTAAAAAGGCTGATGGTGAGATGATCCAGCAGGGCTTGAGGTTTGCACCTTGTAGGCACCTGTCTGTGGAGCTTCAGCGTTTCTGAAGGAAGCAGCAGGGATGTAAGGCAGAGTGTCTTTCAGGGAATGGGAAGACTCATGGCCTTTCCCCATTGCCTGCAGAGAACCATGGTGTCCCTAGAGCTTTCGCAGGGTGCAGAGTCGGGGGTTGGTGGAACAGCAGTAAGAGTCTGTAGTTAATAGTTGGATCTACCCAGACTGTTGAGGCAAAGTTGGTACGTTCATCTCGGATCGAGTAGCCGTTAGTGGGTTCTGTGGACAGTTTTTTCATGATTGTATTATGGAGAAGATCAGAGCTCTGTGGGAGGAGCTGTTCAGCTGTGGAGAAGCAGATTGCATCTCTAAGATATGGCTGCTTGGTTTGGGGGTTAAAGTTGATGGTGTTTTTTATTAACAGCACGTGGTAGTTGGACTCTAGATGATGTGTAAATGGGAAACAGACTTTGGAATGATGAAGCTATTGCTCTGCACCCATGTGACTTCTTGATATTGTTGCTTCAGATGCAGAGGGACAAGCAGTGCAGGGCGACGTGGCAGAGCCAGGCAGAGCACTGTAAGCAGGTGAGTCAGTGTGTGGGATTAGAAGGAAGATGGGACTGGTGGCTCTGAGTATTACATGGCAGCTCAGTGAAGCGTTTCTCTCTGGTTTTGCAGGCACTGCGTGGGCTGCCTTTGGAATGGGATGAGCATTTGAGGTGAGCCGGGTAGTGGAGAGGAGGTACCTGAGGCTGGTCATTTTTTGCACGTTCAATGGTATTTTTATGTCTGTTGGTTTTTTAGGCACCACAAATCGTGCAGAGCAGGTGAGCAGAATGTCACAGAGCATGTGAGGAGGGGGATGTTGCAGGGAAGGTCTGTGAGTGATGTGATGTGCACTGATGGCACTGCTGTGTGTGGAATGGGTTTTTTCTTCATTCCCCCCCTTATTTTTTTTTTTTTCCTAGATGATAAAGAGGGGCCCAGGGACTGCAGGATTGATCCAGTTGGCTGGCTGTGGTTTTCTTTGTGGAGGATGGCTTCAGACCCCTGGCCCTCTGAAAGCTAAGTTGAGGGTCTGGTCCTGGCAATTGTTCGGGGGAGGGAAGGGACAAGGTTGGGAGTGGCAGGGAGGGGTTTTAAAGTCAGAGTGGGGCAGGGGGCTGTCCCGGAGCAGTCCCCTCTGGGCAGGTAAAGGGGGTGGTGAGCACAAAGCCAGTATGTGCCAGGCAGGGCAATTCTAGCCTGTGTCTGTTTGTTTTGCGTGGTCTATCTCTTGTGTTTTAGACTTTCCTCAGGTCTTGATGTCCTTGTTGCTCTTTGTGCTCAAGGGGCACAGCGGGTTCCTCCGGCACCACCCGTAGGGTCTAGAACGCCTGCTCTCATCGGCATCGTGCCCAATGGGCGCTTCTTTTCTTGCATAACTGAATTAAAGAATAAAGCCAGGTATGACTTAGCAAATGTAGCCTGACTGACCACAAACAGGGGCCTGCAACCCCTGCAGAGCTACAATAAGGGACAAGACAAGAAGGCAGGCATGTAGGGAGTAATCCTGAGATCAGCACAATGTTATCTTATCTCTGACAAATGGGGGGCCCAAAGGTATGTTAATGAATTACTGGAAGGATATCTTGAAACAGTAAAACAGTCATGTCGACCTTGCTGGGAGATAGAGGATTCAAAGAAGGAACCCAGCTGTCTTGAGAAGGTGATCATCCCAAAAGGTGAAAAGTGCACAGCGAGGAAGACATACGGTCTTCATCCCGAGACCCTGGCCCATGACCACCAGGAAGCACTGCGCATGAGCAACTGGGAGGAATTAAAGGCGGAGACTCATTATAATAAAGACTGCCCTTTTGGGGACAGGTTATGAATATGTATAGGCGCCTTATGAATAGGGAATACTTCATTGTATAAGTTCAAGAGAAATGTCTCAGGTGGCACGCACATTTGGAGGAGCGATCCCCTGTGCGTCCAGCGCTGCAATAAAGGATACCTGCTTAATAGTCATCCTGGCTATTGAGTCCTGATTTCGTCTTTCACAGCATCATAACAATCTTAAAGCGCGGATCAGACCTGTGTCTCGGATGTTTCTGGACGGTCCTCTCTCTCCGTCATCATTCCTGACTGTGTGAGCAGCTCCATTCTCTAGCCGTCTGACTTCAGGGACTGGAATTTCTTCCCTGCATCCTTATGTTCCCAGGTCTTGAAGCCAGGCTTCTTGTGCTTACATCCTCTCCATTTTGACAGGAACTTCTTGTTGGGGGCCATTACATTGATTCTCTTACGGCATGGCCATAGAGCCTCCTGACGTCAGTGCTGCAGCCCTGCAGGTCTTTTTCCCCAGGGCTCCTCTGGTCTGGAGGTCATTCTTCTTGTGCAGCATGTTGTCTGATGTTTGAGTTGCATTGTCTATTGTGTTGTGTGGTGTTGGGCTGCACAGGGGTGCATTTGTGATGGAGCTGCCCTGCCTGGGGTGCAGAGTCAGGGGTAGGTGGAACAGCAATAAGGGTCTGGGGTTAACAGGTTGATTTGCCCTGGTCTGTGTTCTCCAGCACAACAGTAATGTTATTTCTCATGGCTTCCTAGGTGCTAAAAACGCTGACTGCCACAGCACCCTATTTTGGAATCTGTGTGGATTAGGTGAGTGGAGAGCCCATGGTGCTTTTGAAGAGGGGGTTTTGGGGAAGAGGTTGGCATTGATGGTGTGATGCTGGCTGCTGTCTCTGTTTTTATTGCAGATGGTGAAGAGGACCCCGACGACTACAGGAACGTCCCAGCTAGCTGCTGAGGGTTGGTGGTTTTGTGTTGAGAATGGATGCAGACCCCCAGCCCTGTGAATACTAAGTGGAGGGACCAGGGCTGGGGAGGGATTGGGAGGAGGGGACAAGGTAGGCAATTTTAGGAGAGGTTTTAAAGTTGTGTGGGATTAGAAGAAAGGTGGTCCTACTACCTCTAAGTATTAATGTGGCAACTCAGTGAAGCGTTTCTCTCGGGTTGGGCAGGCACTGTGGTCTTCCTTTTGAAATGGGTGAGGGTTTGAGGTGAGCCTGGTAGTGGAGGGCAGGGACACTGGGCTGGTCATTCCTTGCATGCTCAACAGCATTTTTGTGTCTCTATGTCTCTTAGCACCACAAACAGTGACTGCAGAGAGCTGGCCTCTGGAATCCGTGCAGAGTTCTCTGCCTGCCTTTCAGTGGCGCGTTACCCCGGCAGTGCCGTAGCCTCTCCCTTGGGCAGTGCCACCAGGCAGATGTCCCTCCCCCTTGGGTAGGAGAGGAACATATGTTTGTGCATAGAAAAAAAGTTTATTGTAGGCGTTTCTCTGGAAAATCACAACCTTTAATTTTTGGTATGGCTGTTTATTCCTCTTCCACCATTTGTTTTGGAAACATAGGTCACAAACCTTGAGGAGCAGCTGGAG